TGATGTTTTTTTTTGTGATAAAAAAAAGAAATGTTCGATAAAATTTCAGCAAAATATGATAAGCATCAGCTAATAAAGGATGCGTACAAATAAATATCAATTTTCCGATTGCAGGAAAGCAGGAATGCAGATGTATTGAAAAAATGAGGTCGCCAATGCACATACCGCGTGCTCGTTCGATGAAAATATTTAGTGCGTGCATTTTTTAATTAAATAGAAGTGAGACCATGTTATGTATGTTTATATATGTTACGCGTGTGAGTGACATACTCAACGAATGCCACGGCACAACGTCATTTTCAAATTGCCGGACGTCATGCACACGCCACATGTCATCGGATAATAGCGGACACCTGCCTTGCGATTTTATAGCTCGATTCGTGTGCTCGAATGAGGATATTTTCCGCGAAATAATTAGGTAACTTTTGATGCGGAATATTTCTAATGTATCTCGATATTCTTTGACGTGGAAAAATCCCTAGGATCGCGTACATCGCGCGCAAATAACATTATCGGTTAAAATCTTTTTACATCTTGAATATTATTTTTATACATGTTTTGTTTCGTATAAAAGAATAATTATTCCTCAAGAAATCCGAGACGTAAATTGCACAAAAGTTTTTGTTTCTAAATCGCACAATAATTGCTTCGTCTGTTTCGATATTGATTGTTCCAAGTGTGTATAAATTCGTTAGCTTTAAATAAAATCGCGTCGCGTTGAATAAAATCCCCCGACAAAGCTTTGCTTTTTTTTTTTAAAGCGCGCTTCCGGGGGAAAAATTTCCATCCGTATCGAATTGCAAGCGCGAAAATTCTCGGAGGATATAGAGAACGATTCTACGACTCTACTCGCGCATCTCTCGACGATACAGCATTAATCCGGTAACCCGCGAATCGCAGACCGGGAAAGTCAAGCGCGCGGCATCGCGTCTCTTCGTCATACACACACACACACACACACACACACACACACACACACACACACACGGCGAATTACACACGACGTCAGACACACTTCGTGATAGTGAAGGATGTCACCGGATTTAATTCGGCGGTTTGTCGGTGCTCGAGCGATCGAAACCGTACGTGCTCGTCGGGAATGACAGAGACAAGGGCGCCCTGTGGGTTGGCGGTCGGAACAGGAAGGGGTGGTTTCGAGGGAGACGAGGGTGAAAGAGGAACCCTCTCTCTCTCTCTCGTTGTGTGTTGCACCGCGTATAACAACGATGTTTTGCGATGAGGGATGGACGGATGTGACGTCACAGGAGCTCACGCCGTGATCTATGGCGGCTGATAATGAAAGCGCAGAGGTGAGATACCACGGTAGAAACTATATCGTATAAGCTATAGTTTCCGCGGAGCCGTCACACGGCAATGCCGCAGCGTCAACCCCCAGTTACATCCCCCGATCATCCCCCGCGGTTCATCGTGAAATTATATCTTCACAATGGGGGATATTCGACGCGGCGACGATAAAAGCTTGAATTATGAATATCGGTTAATTCACATTCGGGAGCCGCGATATGGATGATCCGGCGCCGGCGCTACTTTATGACGCAATCGCGCGAGTTCGCGCGAAAACTTGCAATTATCGTTGGTACGCACAGTGCCGCAACGCGCCATTCATTTTCCGATAACAGCTGGAGGTTTCGGTATAATATACGCAGGTGAAATCGATGTCACGTAGTGGACAAGCGATAATATCGCGTAATAATTTTGCTGAGTCTTATACGCCGCGAGATGGATTGTTGTCGTAATAAAAAAAAATGCATGTGCGTGAAAAGATTTTGTAAAATGCTTAATTAAATGACGATTGCAAACGAAAAGTATGAAGCCAAAGACGAATGCGGTACTTTTAGTTTACCTAGTTAAAGTAGTTTTCAACTTTCACATAAAAGGAATCAAAAGACCAGTCTTGAGCAATTTAACTTGGAGGGAATTTAAGAATCCATATGCTTCGCGCAATTATGTAATAAAAAAATGAAAAATTTAGTTTTTAAGCCTAGCAATTTTTTTTATTATAAATAGAATTGGTTGAAATAATTTATTTTGAAATTATTATGTTATTATAAATTGTTCTCACATCTTTTTTTATTTTTTTATTTTAAAAACGATAAGAAGTTTCATGTAAGTTATTTTCAAGTATGATTTTTAATAAGAAATCTTAATGCAATAATATTCTAAAGTGTAGCGAATATAAACGAATAAATATAATAAAAATGTGTACGAGATCGAAAAATATTCGCGGAATATTTGCATAGAACAAATGTAGCATTTATTACATTTTACAAAATTTAGTTTCGTAAAAAGCGGTCATGCATATTATATTGCAACATATTTCAATAAAAATTTCAAATATAAATTTTATTTTAATTTATTAAATCGATAATATATACACTCGATTTTAATTCATTAAATCGATAATATATACGCTCGATTATTTCGATGCGATAATTAGATGAAAATAACTGCTTTCCATTTTTTTTAATTATGCATAATGCAAAAATAATTGTAAAATATCCAATGAATAATATAATGAGTATAATATATTTCAATCAGGAATTTAATTTGGAAATTGTTTGACACAAAGTTAAAGTCATATCGACAATAAAAATTAACTGAAGTTATAAATTTTTATACTGTTTATAATACTTTTAGTTTTTAAGTTCTTAATTTTTAACCGAACGGGTAATAATTGAGCAAATAAAAACAAAATTACCCATCAATTAAATGCATGAACTTTGACACATTTAAATTTAATTTAAGCCGATTGTTTCAATTTGAATCGTAATTTTTGACACTGCTGCTTTAGTCCTTAAAACAACTTTCCTATCAAACGTCATTTTCAGAATAAATAGCTTATTCGTTGTGCATTTTTAGCAAGAAATATGTATAAAGCAGACATGCATATGTATATAAAGATTTATTTATTATTTTTTTTTTTTATATAGGCCTTTGTAAAATGTTTTACACTGATTAAGCAAATAAGATTGAAATGCGATTATGTAAATTTGTAGAATGTCACATTCGCTGTTCTAATAATATTTTCGAAGAACGTCGTCATCTCATTTCGTGCCCTAGTTAGCCGCTTTTTAATTAGTTAGCGTCTCATGTAATTACGTATACGATGCACGAAAAAAAGCTCATCGGTGAAACATCGGATTACGTGGCTCTAATAAAATTTCCGATAACGGCAACCCCATCACGTGATTTCATTACCGGTCGAAAATGTCGGTGCTCGAAATAAAAGTATGAGAAATTATTAATATCGTTGAAACTTTAATTGGGGAAACTTCACATAATTAGTCAAAAAACTTTGGAATCGAAAGAAAACAGGGAACAAAACCTAAAATGCATAAGCAATTGGATAATTAACACACGATATAGAGATCACTATATATATAATAAAAATGCAAGCGATTTTGTTTAAATTTTTTCTCTGTCATAAATTATTCAACTTACATCTTAATATATAAAACTGTACATAAACAGAACGAAAAAAATTTATAAATATGCTACAGTTTTATTTATACACTGTAAATCTGATTTGCGGAAAAATGTATAGCCATAGAAACAAGTATGCAAATTTTTGCAAATATTATATGTCAGAGAAATCATTAAAATATAAAATATGTATTGCATATATATGTATAACTTTTACATAGACTTTCAGATATTCGAAAAATATAGCATTATTTCTCTCATTTTTCAAGTAAACTAAATTTTGAAATAAAATCCTGTTTCTGATCTCAAGTTATTCAAAATAACATTCATGTCGATCGATTCGCTATCGCATAAGGGATTCGATATCGTCGAGAAGCCACGGTGATCCGTTCGCTCTTCTTCTCTCGTGGAAAGATGTATATTTCGCGTTAACCCAGAAACTCTGTTGGCTCGAGCTTTTTATAAGTCGATGCGCTTCCTGAGAACTCATCTGAAACTCGGATTTAGGCGGTTGCATAAAAAAAGGAGCAAGAGTGTCAGAAGACGAAAAAGAAGACAACTTATACGAGAATACAAAGGGTATGGTCAGCCTGTAAAAAACAACACGATAAAAAGAGGTATGATAAACTCGAAAAGATTGAAGGAGGATTTAACGAAGATTTTCCGAAGGAAAACAAGAAGTTATTTTTGACAAGCATCTGAAACGTTTTATGAAGCATTTTGAAGATTATTCAACTTGCAGAAATGGTTGAAAATCTTCAATAATAATAATATAAGCGCGGCGTCTTAATTTTATTACAATTCGTGACGACAGCATAACAATTTTCAACAGAGCTATTTTCGAATAAATTTCGATGTTGCCAATTTCACGCCACTGGATTATCGGCACGATTATTTAATAATCCGCAAAGCAATTTTGCAGAGTTTGAAATTGTGAGGTCGTTCACACTTTCATATTCTCTTGCTATATTCTGAAGTTTCATGAAAACAACAACTTTTTCCCTACGTTCATTCATTTATATACTTTTACATTTTTATGTAATTATTTTTTATAACTACAAATAAGTTAAAAATATTGAAAAATATAGCAGATGTTCATATTAAAAAAAAATACATTATAAATTTGTAATATTGAAAAATTTATTTAAAATGTAACATCAGTTATGAAACTTTTACCTATTATATTTTACATGCATATATATTTACTGCATGTACATTGCATGAGCTTATAACTTTCAGTTACATAAGATGAGCTTGCATCTTAACTTTAATGCTTTGTAAAATTTAAATTTAAAAAACAAATAATTGACTCCCTTAAAATTATTCTCCCATTAAATTAAACAATCCTATCAAATTAAACAATCCTATCAAATTAAACAATATATCAAATTAAACAAAAATTCTAAAACTCATTTATGCGATATCTTCGATATTTAAATCGTATGATGTAAAGTAGTAACATAATATCTCATGGCAATATATATCTCGTTATTTTGATCAAAAAAGAGACATATTTCGACAAAGTTTGATGAAACTTGCTCTGCTTTATCACTCACCTTAGTACTGTCATCTGGTGAAGACATAGCTCATTGTCAGGTGAACCAGCCAAAGATTAAGGAACGCTCTCGAAACTCCGTTGCCGTCGTGCACGGCGGCTGGCAGTTCACCTGAAATTACATTGGAATTATTACATCTTTCGACTAAAGCCTTATTGTTCAATTTATCAAGCGAGGCCAGACGAAGGAGTAATCTGCTAATGACAGGCACGGTAATTAAAGACCAAAAAAAAAGAAACAATTAAGTTATATTTCTTTGACATTATAGTTTTTAATCTACAAATTAAGCTTTATAAAATTATTATGTTATATATATAATATTTAGTATTTGCAACAAAGAAATTAATATTTCTGTCACATCTAAAAAATACATTTTCTGAATTGGATAAATATATCTCTAAGAGAGCAATACGATTTCAATTTTCGAAAATAATGTACTTGTCACATTTTCTAAGAAGTTTGCTTCTTGAACTTAATTAATTTTCTCCTTTGATTTTTTGACTCCTAATATCACGCTGACAAGAATCGTTTATCGTAATAAAATCAGTGAAAGATTGATGTAAAAAGTTTAAATTCGCAAATCACGATATTAAATATCCCGATTTTCGTACAAAGCCCGAGCGTGTGTCTCTCTGGTCGACAAGAATACATTTGTCATCTCATTAATGGTTGTGTTCCATCTATAGGTTTTCCGTCAGATGCAAGCCGCTGCGGGTTGACATATTTTCGTGGCCTCCGTTTAATCGTTCTTCGAACAAGTTACATTTCCCAGATAATAGTTGAGGCCTGCGGGCTCTCATGAAATTAGGCGACTCGTATTAATGGCTCTTATAACGCTCGGTACTTCTACGTCGCGTTCATACATTTACATATGCGAATATGTAGATATTCGCGACTTGTGCCAGAATGAAATTAAAGTGTCTCTGAGATCAGTAAAATATTTCTACGTCAATATTTTCAGTGTCATTCATCGAATATAATTTTCTACAATTTTTATTTTAACTTGATAATTTAATTTAAAAAAGATAATTTTTGTAAAATTTGATTATTTAAATAATTTACATCACATATTAATATTAAAGGTTTATATAATTTGTACATTTAATATATGTATATTTGATCGTTTTGCGATAATTTATTGTATGTACACATTGCGGTCTTTACTTATTAATTTTCTATACTCAGATGAGAGATGGCTAATAAATTGAACACACTATAAGCAAAAATTTCATTCGGCCTAATTAAATTCAATTACTTGATTGATTGTACTCTTAATTATGCGCCCTCTATTTACCATAATATACAGCTGATATATAATACCGTTCCGAAATTAAAAATAAATACATTGCTAAGTCTTCTTTCCATTTGCCGCGTTTGCTTAATAATAAAACCTAATTCAATCGGTAAATTGCGTCTTTGTTTTGACAGCAGCATTTCGAGAACGCAGCCACTTCTCCATCGTGTCGATATTATTCTGGCGTCCCGTTGTGCGTGCTTTGCTTTTCAATTAAAAAAGTTTCCACTTAATCAGGTAAAATATTTTTGCGTGCCTTTAGCTACTCACAAAACAAAAACATTTGATTTTTTCTCAGTTTCATAATACACCATTTTTTCATTATTTGCATCGACGTTATTTTCATAACAATAGAATGCAATATTATTTATTTGCATATATGAAAAAAAAATCTTTAATAATAATCTTGACTTTATTATACATAATCTATTTATATACAATAGAACAACACAAACGCGCCCCATTCTTCACTTGCATATTAAAAAGATTGATATTAAAAAAATTAATAAAAATTGAACTCCATTAATCTTTTGACAAAAATCAGCTAATAACTGTTAAAAATATGAATCTTTAAATAATATATTATTAATACAAATTAAATAATAATGCTAAAGTAAGGCTCTTTATATAGATAAATAACTTTAAAATTAGATAATTAAATAATTCATAAATCAAATAATTATTAAAATGCTTTATTAATAATAATTAATATGTTGAATATGTTTAAGCAGGCTTCAAAATATGAAAAAATGTCAACGCTTATCATATATTCGAAAATTTGAGTTTTTTGGGTTAAATATATATTTAGTGGCAGCCTATGGTCGGAATTATGTTATACAGAATTATAAAACACGTCGAAAACTATAAAATTTCAGTGTTCAAATTTGAAAAAATGTGCAATGAAGTGCTAATTTGGCTTAAAAATATTTTGCGTAAATTTTATATTTTTGATATAATTAAAAGCATTTTTTATAATCCTAATTGTTATTAACAAATTTTTAATTTTTACTCCAAAAACGCTTTAAACTTCAATCACATACGCACAATTTTTAAATATAAGACATTTCGAAAACTAATTTACACGTATTATTTTTATAAATTCTTTATTTTAACATCAGTAATAGATGAAAAATAATATGAAACATATTGCTGATAAAATAGATATACGTAAATGAGCACCGACAAATTTAATGCAGTTACTTATATATATACCTCGGATTATTTATAATAATTAGTATTTGCGACGGATATAACAAGCAATGTATTTATATACAATTACATTAAATTATACTAGACAACACAAGCGCGCGCTTCGCGTGCTCTATTGATTTTATGTGCTTTGATTTAATATTATTTTGAACAACTGTCAAACTATTAACCTTTGCGGTGACAGCTGCTCAATGCTACGAATATAACGCGACTCGAGACAGTCAATTAGCATGAAAAGCGACAACAATAAACTTCGAGATATGCGAGTATCGACTTTCAACTAAAAATTTTAATTCCAGTGGGAATAGCAATGATTATAGTGACGGAAGTAAAATAAGCTCAACATCTAATCCAATAGTAAATATATGATGGGCTCAAACAACAAATCCTAAAAATCCAATAGCTATTAAATTATGCCTAAAGATCCAAAAGTTTCTTTTTTCCCTCTTTTATTTATAATAATATGAGAAATTATATAAACCAAATCCTGGTAAAATTAGAATATAAACTTCTGGACATGCCTTTTTAGAAATGGATGAAATAGATTGCAAAAATCGAGTAAACAAAAAACTTGAAAACTAGTTCTGACAATTTTCTCAAATAAATATGTCGCTAAATAATTTTTTATTTTTGCAAATCATCTCTAATTTAAATCAAAATAATTAATAAAATTAAATAATTCTTGACACATAATTTCATTAAAAATATTAATATATACGCGGTCGAGAGAGTTTTTTTTCCCCACATCTACTATTCGCATTTCGACAGAGCACTTCTAACTCATCGATCCAAAATTAAGTCTGAAAATCGTTTGCTGTCTCGCTTCTTTAATCACCGAGGCCGTGTCAAAGCTACCGCAGGAATAATACTGATGAACTTTTCGCTGCCAAGTTCTCCCATTATTCGCGGTTATCGATCATTCGATCCCATCCCGAACGTGGAGCGTAACGTCCTTTCGACCCGCGTCCTTCCTTTTCTGTTTGTTGTCGGCACACTCGCCGATAGAAATCGGCGGTCTTGGCCGTGTTCCAGGATCGCCCTGGAATTTGTCAATTCGTCCCACTCGATCACCCCCAGCCGCCTACCGACTTACAGCTTCTTCGCTTCTCTCCGCCTTTCGTCTTTCCGACGTCTCGAGTATCTACCACTGTCCCTAACCCACTTGCTCCTCCGATTCTTTACCTAGTCTCAAGTTTTTTCGATCCTCCAACTTCTCTCTAGCCTCTCCTCTCCTTTTCATTTCTTTATTTCTCTCTCTCTCTTTCTTGCGCGTATCAGTTTTACTGGCCTTTCTGATTTTCTTCGTCACTGATCTTACTTCGCGCATCTTCCGTAGAATTTTTTTTCCTCGCCCGACCGGCGCGCCTCAGATTTTTCTTCCGGTGGACTTGCTAAAAAATCACAGAGATCCCAAGATCTTCTTTACTTAGTCTTAATCTAGGCGTTCGTTCCGTCAGCTTTCCCGAGAGAGAGAGAGCCCGGTATTTTTCAATAAAATACCATGGGAACGCTGATGGTCGGTCTTGTTGAGAACGTTCTTCGACGGTTTAATGATTACCAAGGAGGATTTCTTGATCACGTAAGAGATCCCTACCTTACTTCCTTGTCGGGTTTTTAATCTTTGCGCGAGGAAAAGGTTTCGGCTAGCTTTTAACCAGTGAAACCATCATGACTTGGTTTCATCTTTTGAACGTAATATCGAGGTAACCTACTTGAAAGGGCGCCTCTTAGTCGCTCGATATTTCAGCTTCTATGATTAAGCATATAAAGCTAGGAAGACATAAGTAAAAGTCGCTTTGAATCGCTCAAAATAAATGAGAGTAATTATGTATATAATTATGTATATCTTATTATGAATATAAAATTATTCATTTTATTATATACTTTTTCCAAAATTGTAGATAAATTATAGCAATATTTTTATTGGGAGGGCAAATAACATAACTCCATGTGGCGAAAATTCCTAATTACGTTGTGGCAATCGAAAAAACCACGGCCACCAATCTATTTGCCATTGTTCGGCTCCATTCCTCATTGTTACTTATTCGATTCATGCCCGTTGGATACATTTCCTGTATGCGGTCGGGCGTTCGTCAATCCCTCGGCGCCAAAGGGGCAGAACTTCCTATTAGCCACTTCCTATCCTAGCTAGTTCGGTGTTAGGAATTCCAATTCCCGATGTTGACCCTTGGTTGGCTACAAGCCGCGACCTTAAATTTAATCTTTCCGATTTGGAATCGTAAAGATTGGATGGCGAGAGTAAGATATTTTCTCCAATGTTATAAAGTAATCAAAAGTATCTATTCGAGCGATTTCGTGATAGCTTTAATTAACTTTATACATATTTAATTTGCTAATTATTTTTACCTTCTACTCATATTTATCTTTATACCTCAAAAATATAGGTATATTAAATTATGTATATAATAAATAAGTTTTTTTCCGTGACTTGACTTGCATCTCTATGACAAATTATCAAACCTTTTGCTTTTAAACGCCGTGAAATTTTTAATTAAGAAGTTACGGCTGTTGCATTTTTACATAGATAAAGTATCTTGTCGCGCGATGTGTTTGCAAGATTTATTTATGCATAATAATTTATGAGGCA